CGTGTTATTTTGAAGCCTGTGCGTCGAGACTGATGCAGCTTGCGGAATGCACTTGCTTTTGTCCAGGCCTATTGGACATGCCATTTACCCCGCTAGCCTGCATTCCTTAATGCCTGTGTGATTGGCGAACTGCGCACTAAAGCATGTCGTTCGTGAAGGCCTGGCAGTGCCCTCAAACACTGAGCTTGGAATTCAAAAGCTGAAAAGGCATCATGCAATATGGCAGTCAACTGCCTCACTGGCAACTTGCCTTCCTTGTGACTGTCCCAGAATGCAATGGTCCTTCACAAACTGGGGAAGTCTGATCCTGGAACGTAGCCCAGCAGGAAGTGGGAAAGAAGACTGTTAATTCAACTTCCACACGTCCAAGAGTTTCTTCTTGGAGTCTGTGTAGTGCCCAGTTTTCTTCTATCACATCCTTGAAACCAGCAAATCTGATCTTTGCTTCCCGTTAGTTAACCTTGTTAACCTTGGGGTACGGTATCAAGTTGTGAAGCGGCACCGGCAAAGACAATATCTTCACACTTTTGATTCCAGATCCTCTGCGGCTGTCTTGACCACAGCTGTTGGATGCTGCAAATGCCTTTTTTGGTTGCAAGTCTTGAAAAGAAGCCTCTTGGAAGACTGCACTGGTAAGCAAAGAGCTGCCACCATGGATGCACTGTCAGGTGTATTTGTGTTGACATGTGAGATGTGTCTAATAGCACAACACCCTGCAGCCCCAGCCTTTCTGAATGGCATTCTGAAAGGCAATGTACAAGCTCCCGGGCCCCATGCTGAACTACAGCTCTCTCAAGTTTCAAGTTGCAGACATCATTCGTTTGTGAGACATGATTTGTGAGCCAGATTCAGCTTGTTTCGGACTGCGTGCAGCGTTAGGACCCTGATGCTCTTCCACGCAAATACTTGTCTAACCAAACACCACATGGTTCATACAGGAAACAGTACAAAATCCAGGGGGTGGCCCTTGTCATAGGTTTGTGTTCCTCTATATAGATGCAGTTCTGCCTCACAAACCTCTCCGCTCGGCTTCGTGGAACCTGATCAAACCTCGCCACTACTGCCTTGCTCGAAAGCTTTCAGACCGTCTCATGTTGATCAGCCCCTCTAACACCCTGCCAGCTGCCTTTACTGCCTGAGTGTGATACTGGAAAGGCACCATGCCAAGACTGAACCAACTATGTATGTATATCCAAATCAGCTGATGGGCGACGACATCAATGCACATTAGAGAAGCTTGGCTCGTCCCCTGTTGCCTGTGAACAAATAAACCTGTGCTCCTACTTTCTCCTCAATTGAGACCAGGCCCATGTATGATTGCACCATCGTGAACTGTTACAATGTCTCGAAGGCCGCAGCTGGAAGCAAAGTTGTCTGTCACAACACCACAATGGCCTGTCATCAGATTGTGCTGAGGCCCTTTTTCTGTACATGCAGCTGCTTCCATGGTAGCAACTATTTGACTGGTGAGGCAAGTATGCTTTCACTTGTTTGATGCAGACATGTCTTTCAACCACAACCACTTGAGTTTGCACCGCAGTCCTCTACCAAGTAGGTGCATGCCCTGTATCTCCCAGCCACACTGACACAGAAATCGGTGCTTCGGAGGAGCAGGTTTGAGTTAGGTCTGCAGTCGTTGCCACAGTTGAGTGTACACTACGCAATCAATCGGTTCACAGGTGCTTTTTCTCACATATCTTCTCACATGAATGGATCGATTTTGCTGCGTTCTGCTGTTTTTTTCGACCAATTATGAGCTTTCAAATAGCTCCCACTATTGAGTGCCTTCACTGGCGATCTTGTTTGTCACTGGCCTTTGATGTCTTGCTTTCCCAGGGTGTGCTGAACACCAGGCCTTTCATGGAATATGCAAGCGGTGTTTGTGCTTGTGGTCCAAGCAAATACGGTTTCATGGTTATCTGCCCTGCGACATGCATAGGTTTGTGTTCCTCTCACAAACCTCGCCACTACTGCCTTGCTCGAAAGCTTTCAGACCGTCTCATGTTGATCAGCCCCTCTAACACCCTGCCAGCTGCCTTTACTGCCTGAGTGTGATACTGGAGAGGCACCATGCCAAGACTGAACCAACTATGTATGTATATCCAAATCAGCTGATGGGCGACGACATCAATGCACATTAGAGAAGCTTGGCTCGTTCCCTGTTGCCTGTGACACAAATAAACCTGTGCTCCTACTTTCTCCTCAATTGAGACCAGGCCCATGTATGATTGCACCATCGTGAACTGTTACAATGTCTCAAAGGCCGCAGCTGGAAGCAAAGTTGTCCGTCACAACACAATGGCCTGTCATCAGATTGTGCTGAGGCCCTTTTTCTGTACATGCAGCTGCTTCCATGGTAGCAACTTTTTGACTGGTGAGGCAAGTATGCTTTCACTTGTTTGATGCAGACATGTCTTTCAACCACAAAAACTTGAGTTTGCACCGCAGTCCTCTACCAAGTAGGTGCATGCCCTGTATCTCCCAGCCACATTGACACAGAAATCGTTGCTTCGGAGGAGCAGGTTTGAGTTAGGTCTGCAGTCGTTGCCCCAGTTGAACGTACACGAGTTTGTTTTTCGAGGCTCTAGAATACAGCCGGCAAATTTGGATTTCAATCGTCATTGTCATTTAGTTCCGAGCTTTGCTGGTTTTAAGCACAAGGTGATGGGGTGATTCTTCTAGAACCGCAACCTGCTTCATCTAAAATGCAAAGATGCATGGCTGCTTGCGCTTTAGCCATGCGCGCTCTGCAGAATGGGCTTATGCTCAGTTTTATGCTGAGTTTGCGTTTTTTCATACATCAAGCGTTCCATGATTGCCTACCACACAGCACTTGTTCAGTGTCATTTTTGGTTTGAAGACTTGACGGTGGAAAAGGACGTCTTGGAGGAAGCATTAGAAACTTCATGTAGACCTTTTTCTTTCAACCTAGTTCATGTATGTTGGGGACGATCACATCTGCCAGGAGTTTTGTAGCGTTGCCTCTTTTGAGCTCTGGGTGTTGTACACTGAGAGCCAAACAGATGTTTCTGAGCAAATCTACCGGTGGGTCTTCATTCCCAGTGGGGGTAGGCAAGTTTTAATCCCGAACACCCCCTAAGCTGGTCTTGAGACCCTGCCACCAAAAATCAACCGAAATGAAAGAGGACTCTCCAGACTCTCCACTTGTGCGCCAAGCTCAGATCTGATGTTCTGCTTTGGTGATGGATGGGTGCCGCGTCTCCTCAATGATTCAGATCGGCGAGGAGCGTGTAAGTCTGGCTTTAGCTTTATGCGGACGAACATCAATTTACATGTGATTTGAGCAGGAGCGGCCATGTACCAGCTGAGTCCGCTTCACACCTCATCCTGTCCGCAAATGACAGCCCACTCTGCCTGGGACTCACGACATCCTCGACTCATGCCGTTCGACTCGCTTGCGAATATCTGTGTGTGACTCATCAAAATCTCTGAGTCCGTGCGAATCGTTGAAGGAGAGCCTTGCGCGTAAGACGTGTTTGTGGGTTCCGGGTTTGGAGCCAAAGCCCACTGCGCCATGTGCATCCAGGAGCAGTTTGACGGGAGAGGACTTGGCCGTCCTGTCGTCGGCAGCGCAGGAGCTGCAACTGACTAGAAGGGTGTGAACACAGACTTTCCGGTTGTTTGGGAGTTAGAAGTTTGTGCTTCCTCTCGATGAGTGTTTGGTGATACATTCGAAGAACCGATACTAATTAGTCGAACTAGTATTGTGAGTCTTTGACTTGTTCGAGAATTTGCTCCACGATTCTGGGGCGAAGATCGCATCGATTCGTTCGGGAGAGCGGATCATTGGGCCTCCAGAGATCGGAAGCGATGGATTTCTGTTCAAGTCTTATTTACCGACTTGTGGAGTCTTTTTCTCTGCACAGTCGGATTTCCTGCCACATCCGCCACCGTTTTTAAAGGGGGGAGCTTGCCAGTGTCAATGTCTCGTATCCGTCTGTCGTCAGTGGCGGGTGGTGAGCTCAGATGCCTCGCTGCTCGCTTCGCGGCTGGGCACTCCAGCGGCTTTGCTGCAAGCCGAGCAGTCACTGGAGTGGCAGTGAGTGGCGGGTGAGGCGATATGTTGAGAGATGGGGTGGTGGTGTGGCCAAAAGCTGCATTGCTACAAGTTGAGATTTAGCTTCAGATCCCAACTGTGGGACATTTGGAAGAAGATTGAAGATCCACGAGGAGAAAATCGCTGCTTGCTCCGGGTTCCTAGGATTGCAAGTAGATTGTGAAAGGACAGCAAGGGACAACTTTGCTTTGATAGGAGAGGATGGAAGATGAGCAACCCCAAATGGGATTGAGCATGAAGTCTTATAGACTCTAGACTTTTTGTTTCGATCCCGAGCTTTGCAGCTCTGCTTGGTTGGGCCAAATCACCCATTCTTGATCTCAAAGTGTTGATCCAACGAAGGTCCAACAAGTATCACGTTAGCCAACATGTCAGTTCCGTTAGGGACATTGCGACAATTCAGTGCACCTTGTTTAGTCCAACTGCTACATGGAGTTCCTGCTTTCAGATTTTCATTTGCTTTCTGTGCGGATCAGGTGAACAGTTTTGTTTGTGTTTGGGTTTGGGTTGTACCTCAACTTTGTGGAAGCTGTATGGGAATCGAACACACTCCTTTGTACCGTAGAGATGAAAGTAGCCTGGTGGGCAGGAGCAAGGGTATCGAAGTGACTTTGCTGAACGCGTCAGACAGATGCAACTGATGCGAAGCTGGGGATGAAACAGGCTTGGCTATGCGTGAAGCGTAGTTGCGTCTCACATCCAATCCAGGCGGATTTCTGCAAGTTTCATGCCCGCTCAAATGCTCAAGCCATTTGCAAGTTGGATGGGGCGCAAACGGAAAAAAGAACGCATAGCAGAAAGGCACAACAACTCCCATTCGCACCGAGCGATCAAACTCCGAGAACTTGAATCGATCCAAGCAGACACAACTGACCCACAAGACCGGGAGACTCTAACATTGAAGCAGATCAGAAAAGACAGTGGCGAGTTTCAGCAGAACAGAACGCACCGCCATGGGACTGACATCGGAAGATCCGCTGTCACCTTCTGGTGGACGACATACTCAATTCAAGGAGCAAGAGTTTCAGAGGAAGGGGGCAAACCATGCTAAGGAGAATGGGTTACATGACATTGGAGGGGGAGGCAAAAGGATCTGAAATGTAGGAGGGAAAGGGGAAAGGCAAGCTTCCTAATGACATTTCAATTGGAACACTTCTTGGAACCAGAGTGACAACTTCGAAGCCAGGGCCGTTGGGTTTTGAGACTGGAATTTCACCTTCAGCAAGTACATTTGCCACGCCATCATGCCACCTAGCAAGTCAAAGCAATAACTGCCAGATGTACAAGCGTGACGTTGAAGTTGAACTCTGTCAAAAGCTAAGGACGCAAAGCCACAGAGTAGAGGAATAAGTGCAGTCGGTGTTGCTGTGCAATCAACCGGACCGGTAACGTCAACTAGACGACGAGTGGCCCGAAAGCATTTTTCATCACGTAGGAAGTCAGAGTGCGAGTTATCCGGTAAGTGTGCAGTGAGAAGTGTGAAGTCGAGTGCGTTGAGGTAGTGTGTGGGTTTCTGTGCGTGTGTCTATGTCCGTGTGGAAATGAGTCTGCGTATGTATGTGTTCGTGTAAGTTGAGGGAGTGTGTGGGTGTCTGTGTGTGATGCGGCCTCCCAAACCCCCCACCGGCGGCCAAGCGGTGACAGCCCAGCTCATCGTCGTGAGCATTTGGGCTGCTGGTAAGGGGAGAAGCAGCGTGCACGGCGCCAGGAAAAGCTCACGGAAAAAAACGAACCGGAATGAGGACACAAAAGTGCCGAGGCAGGTGCGCCAGAAGTGTCTCGAAGCAGTGACCTGTCAGAGGAGATGAACGAA